TGCAGAAAAAGATAGAAAAGAAACTTTTGGCATTAAAATTAAAGATCTTTACATTAATCCTTAAAGTAGTAAGATTCATTCTATGAGGAAATGAAGAATTACCACTAATAACGCGGGGGTGCATAATAATATATAATATATATAGCCTCTGCTGACTCAGCTTAAAATCTTTAAAAATAAGCACTAGGGCCACTTGCAATGGGCAAGGGTTTTGTGCTAAGAATACAATACAACAACACAGTAACAAAATATTGTGAACCTTAGATGTATAAGAACATGTGATCTTATATTTATTTGCCCTTCATTCTTCATAAAAAGTCGTGGAAGAGTGGAAAGTTTAATAATATACTGTAATATCTAAAGATAGGGAACTCATGAAGTACCTTCTGTTTGTTATTCAGTAGCTAAGCAAGAGTACCCCAATGAAAACAACTGCAACAGTGCCAGTCCAGTGGGAATATTTTCTATTTGTCATCTCTAAAGATTTTCTAGAAATTAAAAGGGAGGCAGTTTTCCCTTTTTTTGCTGCGTGAGAAATGTGAACAGAGTGCACAGTTCATGGACCTGTCTTTCCCTGCTTGAATAAGATGGAATCATTGTGAAACCGTTAATGTCTTATGCTATTCTGGGGCAGAACTTTCATATAGCCTCTGTGTTTCTGGATGCAAGGAGGTGGTAAGTCGCACTGCTTTAGAATACCGGCCCTTTGGCAAGAAATTTACGTTGGTGCAAGTGGGGATGCTGACCAAAGACGTTCACAGTGTTCTTCCAAAACTCAAAAAAACTCCCGGTGCTATAGGAACTGACATTGACTTGCGGGGTGATTTATTCCCATTAAGTTACCATGTCACACAGTGAACATCTGAACTGTAGTAGTTCAGTGGTCCTTGTTAAGACATCTAAACCCTAAGGCATTGTGGGATTTGCAGCCAGGATCCTGTAACATTTGGATACTTTTTCTTCTGCAATCAATTATTCATCTTCTAGATTTTCCCAGAATATTTGAATATTTGTCCGAATTATGAAGGATGAAAGCCTCTTTGCCATTCTGGTGTTCAACATTTTCAAATCTTAATTATGCTTGGCCAAATAAGCACAAACAGATTTCATTTTTTCCAACGATTTTTTTTTCCTTCTTCTGTACTTCCCTTGTTTGGAATCACCTGTTGTTCATCAGTTCAGCCTTTTCTGCCGTCTGTGAGCACTGGGTGTGTCAGACTGCGCAGACGTTTGGGAGTAGCTAGTTATTTTTTTGTTCTGCCCTCCTGAGTTTTGGGATCCGCCAGCTGTATGCTTTTCGCGTGTCAGCTCAAGGGTCTGAACTCTGGGACCTCACACAGTAGAGAATGAGAACGTCTCGGTCGTTTACTATGACACTGGCAGTACAGCCCTGTAGCAGAGGTGCAGCACTATTTGGGGCAGAGACACATTGCTGCACGCACAAGACAGGCTGGAGATCCTCCCATCCTGTTTTCTAAGAAAGGTCTGTCTTCTCAAAGAGAGGAAGCCATTTGGCCAGTCTAGCCTGTTTGGGTGATAGTAGTTAACTGAACCATAGATCTCATCCAGCTGTTTTTTAAAGAAGCCTGGGTATTGGTATTGGCTTTAACCACGTGGAAGGGTAGCTGGTTCCTTGCTCCCATGATATTTTGATGATAAGAGGTTCCTCCTGTTCTTAAATGAGGTGCACCTCCGCTTTGTTTCCACACGTGCCCCCTGGTTCCTGTTACCCCGTTCCTTCTGAAGAAATCCTCTAGGCTGACTTTGTCAGTGCCTTTGAGGAATTTTAAATAGCTGTTGCAGGTCCCCCTGTACACGATCACAGTCACCGTCGGTCAGTGACATGACCCACGTTTGGATGACAGACCTGAACCTGCTGAGCCTCTGTGGAGTTTTGTGTACACTTTTCTACAAAATGTACCATTATCCACTGTATCCACTTGTCGTCTGACCTGTCTCCCCACTGCACATCCCACAGTGCTCGCAGCAGACTTGGGCACTGACGATATCGGAAGCTGAAGTGTTTCCCTGGTCAGTAGGTTTGACCAAGTGGCACATGCTGTTGGGACAGTCCGGTCGCTCAAGGCACATCTGTCCCAGACTGTTACGGGATGGTAGATCTCAAACTGCACTCAGAAGGGCGCCTTGTCTCTTTGAGATGTTAAGGAAATCTGTGCTTCTGAAAACAGCTGGCTCATCAGTGACCGTGTTTATAATATGCTTTCAACAGCCAGGACCTAACAGCCACACATTTTCACACACTTGTAGATGTAAATTCTCTTGGTTTATCACTGTGTTTAATGTCAACAGGCAGACAATGGGAAGAAAGAGGGAGTTTTGTTTGTATGTACAGAGTCTAGCTATGTAGCTACACCATAGCATGTCTTTGCAGATGTTGAACTGTTTTCAGGGGATTGCAGTACTTTTCCTCACTGGAATTGTATCTACAACACCAGTGTCATCCTCTAGACTGAGTGACATCAGTTGTGTAAGGTTTTCAGCTCAGTGTCCTTTTTTGGGGGATAAGCTTTGATTAAAATGCTTTTGTAATGTATCTTAATCTTGGCAAATATTTTTAGAAAAATGGCCTGTGTGTGAATGACTTTTAAAAAAAATGGCAGTATAACTGATCTCCAAATCCACATTCTCTCAGAATAAAAAGAAGTCCAGTCATTATATCTTCCGAGCAACTTAGGTGGGAATTTCAGAATTAGACCCATCTTACTTATGTATACTACAAAATAAGGTAGTATTTTCTACAAAAAATAAGCAATTCATTTTACTGGGTGTACAACAGATGAATTCAATTATATGAATACTGATGGTAATACAAAATACTGAGGGATTTTATCAAAACCAGAGTTTTCCCCTAAATGTAGGCATTTAAATGCAGCCGTGCAACTTTTCTGGCTAAACAGGGTTACGATGGATAACCAGGGTTACACCATTTATTATTTGAGCTGCAAGTATTCTTTAGTACAAGGAAAGGTGCTTATAATAATATTTATCTTTCAAGGAACATTAAAAAAAACTAATCGATTTCTGATATACTGGAGATGTTTCAAGCAAGTTTGAGGGGAAATGTTTTCTGTCTTTGCATGTACTGTATAATACAAACTCAGAGCTGTCCAGTTTCACTAGACATTAGAAACCCTATTCTCCTATTCTGCTTCTTTATAATATTCATGAAAAGGAAATAACTAAAAGGGGTCTTCTTGATTTCTCATGGCAAGCCTTAGAAATCTTTCCATTCAAAATGTCTTTTTTAACACTCTACAAAACGTTAGGAGCACTGTGCAGGGTGACTGCTAAGAAAGAGTGCTGCTGTCAGCTTGTGTGTTTCTGTTGAGCCTACATCTCAGCCCAGGCAGAGGATGGAATATGAAATGCCAGAAAAACAGTACATAAATGACTTGGATTTTCCATGGGTTTCCAAGTTTCTGGAAGAACTGAAAACCTTTGATTTTGTCGGAATCACTGTCTCATATGAGTTTCCCACAAATATTTTGTTCCTTAATGGACTCCCCCATTTTTTCAGTGTGTGAAAGAAAACAAGCCATTTCAAACTCTTTTTTTTAGGAATACAAGAGCTGCTACAAAATATGGAAAAATAAAAGTATAATCTGCACAAAATGAAGGGTATATTGTTGGAAAATTATTGGATGGGTTCTTTTTAATCATTCTTTTAAAAAATAAATTTTATATACTGATGATGTTGAAAATTTTACTGCTTCTTAACTATAGTTTTGGCTGTGAAAAGTGAATGAGGTCTACAATACACTTGTGTTTGTGACAGATGTTATTGAAATACACTTTGTGAGCAAATCAATTCTAACCACACTGTTCCACCGGCAGTAAAAACTGGCTGTTAAGGCTTTCTTGCTACAAAATGGTTAGAGAAATGTAAAGCTAACAAGTATGTACTTAGCATCCTTAGTGCAATAAAAAAGTTAGTTCACTGTGCTGTGTAAATTAACTACACTGTGAGTGCTGTGTAAATTAACTACACACTCATAAGATGCACATATAGTAAGCATTAGAATGAGCATTTGTTTTGCAGAGCTAAATAAGGACCATAGTGCGTGGCCTTCATTCTATGTTATTATGGTCTAGGAAATGCTTCTGTAACACCATCTTAAAAACTAAGCTGCTCATACCATAATAAATTAATTCATTAGCTGGTTTGCCCATAAGGCAAACTAGAGCTTCCAGGCCTATTCAATATGTACAGTACAGTACGTGCTTTGCACCCTTCCAGATTCTGAAACGTTTCAAGAGATCCAGTAGCCCATCAAACGACAGCAGGAGTTTTTATGCGTGCCTGTCTTTAAGAAACAGGCCGCAAGTATCAGCGCGTGAAAGTATTCATATTTCAAACGCTACTTTGAAGACTAATGGAAAAAGGAAACCACGTGGGACAGGCATGCAATTGTATATCCTGTTTTTAGAATGATGAAAGGTAGGACGACTGCAACATCACAGCACTGTCTCATATTCTGTTACTACTGTGTGTGTTTTCCAATTCCTGTCAGAGGCCCAACAGTTACAAAAAAAAAAATTATTAAACGCAGATATTGTGCTGTACTGCTTTTAGTAGGTCTTTCCATGAACGCCCAGTTTCTATGAACCATGAGCGCACTTTGCGATACTGCTGTCAGATGCACTGTGCCACTTATTGGTCCTGATCATATCCATGGCATTGATGAAATGCATTAAAATATTCTTTGGTGGATGCAGTGCTTTATTCTAGCGGATTTCTGTCACGGATAAATTGTAATTTCAGACTTGGTTCCAAGTAGCAAAAGATGGATCCAGACCTCAAAGTTATGAAAAAGTGCTCTCACCCATTAGCTTAGATAGCACTGCAGTGTGTCTAATTTCATGGCAGAACCTATTTTTTCCGCGTAGTGTGTGATGGAGATCCAGTTAAGTTTAATTCATTCATCATTCTTTAAATAAAAGGAAAGTAACCCTTTTTTTCCTCTGTTTTGGCTTTCTAGCTGGAGCTACAGTCGTGTTGTATATTCGTCCCAAATGACAGCCTGCCTTCCCCGAGCACCATTGTATCGGGGGATATTCCTGGCACAGTGCGAAGCTGGTACCACAACCAGGCCAGCATGCCTGGGACTCTAGTAATATGTCTCCCCCAAATAAGTGTGATGAGTGCTGGCCATAAGTACATGGAGCCACTCCAGGAAATTCCGTTTGTTGTATCCAGGCCGGTTCTTGAAGAAGGTAAGTCTTTAATTACTTAAGTGATACACATGAACAATTTAAGTCCAGTTGCGATGGGTATCATTATCCTCATGCCTGTGGAGCATTTATTTCATATTTGTGGTTGGATAGCATGTGGGGTTAGCCACTCATGACACCTATGTTTTAAAAATTTGTTAGTTTAGGAATCAAAACCTTTTTTTCCGAGATGTGCAGGTATTTCATGTGTGTTTTTTCGATTAGTATTCGTATGACACATACTGCACAGGGCTGCTTCGATCAGGTACTGTATGCATTTACTCTCGGCCTGTTCCCTCTACAGTATATGAATGCCAGAAATGAAAGAGAAGAATTTCTACAGGTCCAACGGATTCAAACGCCATCATGATAATATGAAAAAATAGCCTTTGATTATTAAAACTTGTTTTACTCCTTTTAAACTTCCTTTAGCCTCGTGTTTGTGCTACGGTATATAATGTTATAATTGAACAAATATATTGAATGGAAAACTCATTATACTTTAATATTGTTTTTGATGAGTTTGTACAACACAGATCTCCTCTTGACCTACTGTACTATCTACTATCCAGTATGTTGCATAAAAAAGAATCATTTATTGCCTGCATTATTTTCATATTGCAGATGAGTCACCCAGCATTCTCTGTGTGCTATTATTATTGAATGAGTTTATAATCGCAGCAAAACCTAGTGAGAATGGTTAATGTTTGGGCATTTCAGAAGTCGTATTGTCTAATTATCTTTCTTGGCTGTGTGAATTTATTAAAAGTCAAATGGAAAAATATTTTATTGTTCTCTGGCAGATGCTTGAATTAGTTGTTTCATTTAACTTTTGTAGAGCTGTATAGTTTTGTTTTTTTATCAGAAGATTTTCATTGGGTTTTGATGTTAACAAACTGTAATTGGACAAGTGAAAATAGTTATTGCCGTAAATGAATTTTAAAGCATTTTTTTGATCCAGACTGTCAAAGCCAATATTTTATATCTTCACGGAGCCAGCAACAAACTCAGGCTGCTCTGAAAAATATAACTGTTTTGAAGTGCTTTTAATTTGTTATTGTATTAAAGAACAAATGGTGCAATTATCTAGGATTTACTTAGACTAATTAAAAACAAACCATAAGGGCTCTGTTAATGCATAACATTTTGAAGCAGTTCACACACAGTGTAGTACTACAGAGCAATAACTCTTCTGATATCAAATTGTAAGTAAAGTGCTGGCTTTAACAGCTTTGAAAAGGATGACATGAAAAGCACGCAATTTTGAGAATGTTGTAATGGGCAGCTGTGTCAGCATGCGTTGGCTGTAAAGGTTAATTCCACGTCTGAGAAACAGAAAAGAGAAACGACGTTTTGGCTGTCGGGGCTTCTTCGTGTGTGGAAGGTGGCCGAGCAGCGTCGCGTTTCTCCTTTCTATTTTTCAGACTTGGAATTAACCTTTACTTGCTCCGTCTTCGAGAATTCCACTTCCTCTTGGACACTAAACTCTCCCCCCGCCTTCAGTCCAGTTTTCTGTGTCCAGCGAGCAGAAAGTGGCTCCTGGCAGCGCTGTTTGTCCAGGGATAGGGAGCAGTAAACCCGCTGAGTCCTGAGCTGCTCCTGAGATGTTCATCCCTGCTCGTCTGCCCTCTCTCTGCCTCTCTCCCCCCCTGTCCTTCAGGCGATGCTTTCCCGTGGACGGTGAGCCTGAGCCAGTTCAGCGTGTACACTCTGCTGGGGCAGCAGCGCTCCTTCAGCCTGCTGGACCCCCTGGGCTGCACGTCCACCCTGGCCGTCACCTCCCACAAGCTGCAGGCCTCAGGCCCCGAGATCCGGCACTCCTTCATCGTCTGCCTCCATGTGGACCTGGAGAGCCTGGAGATCAAGTGCTGCAACCCACAGGTGGGTCTCTTCCTCGTGCTGACCGCAGCTGTTAAAAAAAAAAATAGGTGGCACAGTTACATTAATCACTAGATTTATTCCTGGCCGTGGGGGTAGGGAGCGTAGTAAACTGTAACAGCTATGGTTATCATATAGTTACCTAAAAGAGCGTTTAAAGGAAACAGATGAATGTCGTTTCAAATTAACACTAACTTTTTTTTCCCCTTTAAATAATCCTATCCTTCCTTTTTCTGTCCTCCTTTTACAACTCCTTAAGACTCAGTCCTTTGGAATAGGGGGTGGGATTTAGCCTTTCTTTGATGTGATCTCAAATGTTCTCTTCCTTAAGTCTTAGTAACTGTAGCCTGAGATGCACATTTGCCTAATGTGGCTGAATCAGTTCCAGGTGTGCGGTTCGTTGCTGTGTTTTAGGTAGGGACAGACTGCGCCCTCTGATGGGAGCTGCTTCCAGGATAGAATTGTTCGGTGACCCAGTGCCACTTGCCCACAAGTCTTTGGATGGAGACACTGTATTTGCTCATTAGTGCTCTTCTCATGTGTCTTTATGTAATCCATGACCAGCGGACTGCAGGCACTGTGCGTGTGTAATTAAATTCAGTGGCCTCCGGTTCATGTTTTGAAGTAATTTGACGGTATCAAGTTAATACCACAGTATCAGACTTTGGATATGAACCCACATAAATTTCAGAATCTTGATGATTTGGTTATTAGGGCTGGAGAGAGGGATAAAAAGCCTTCTCTTTCAGCGATTCCCCCACCCAAGCAAAGCAGGGCCCAGGAAGGTGGGGGCAGGTTTGACGTCCAACATCGTTAATGGCGTTGCACCATGTGTGAGAAGGATATGGGTGTCCTTGCGTGAGGCAGAAAGATGATTAACCCTTAGTGTAGATATGTGGGCTTGCAGGCGGTTATGTAACATCTGCTGAGAAGGCCTGTTGGGTAAGCTTTTTACTCCTATCTCTGTTTTTCTCTGAGTCAAATAACATTACAAAAGCAAACCTTAAAATGAAGGTCAAATTCAGTTAAATAGAATATGGATCAGATTCTGCTGTTTTGAAAAACTCTGTTATTATGTCAGCTCTTGCACGTTTGAAGGTCGGAAACCAGTTGGAACTGTTTGGATTTGTGAGCCGAATGAAGCGAACAGAGCCTCTTGCAATCCAGAATTTCAGCAAACACGCTTAACAAACACTGGCATCTTCCTAACTGCTTTTTGGAATAAAGCAGAATTACTGACATCGAAAGGGACTGTTCCCACACTGTTTTGGAACACATTTTTGCAAATGTTCACATGCATAATTCCCTTGGCTGAGACAGGCTGTCTTGAAACATCAGAGTTTTAGTCTGTGATACCTGAATAGAGCTCTTTTTTCTTGGAAAATATGAATAATGCCCTGGCTTTGCATTGCCCTCATAAATGCCTTGTGTCATTGTGTTTATGTGGTGGGTAACAGAAATAAACAATATTAGGGTTGTGCCCTTTAATTTAATTTGCACTGGCGGAGAAAAAACAAACATTCTGTGAGTTTGCAGTGAGATGTTCTTTTTGAGGTCACTTTAAGAGAAAAAAATCTCAGCTCATCCTCCTTGGCCTAACTCTGTAATTATTGAACAACATTCAAATAGGATTCCAAGCTACTTTTGTCCTCATACCTTTCATTGTCATGAGAAAATGTAGATTTAATTGCAGCACAGAATGAAATAAATCATTATTAACATTAAAGCTCGTCAGATCTCCCATTATTTATCAAAGACCGAAATAAATGCCGTCATTTACAGAGCAACTTGTTTCATTATCTGTTGGACCAACAGCTGAGAGTCCAGCTCTTTTTACGTTTAATCTTTAAATTTGCTGCTAATTCTGAACAGAAGTTGGTTAAACTAATAACAATTAGACTGCACCGCAGAGTTTAAGAAGTGTTGCCAAGGCCTAGAACAAAAGAGACCTCACACCACTCTCTGAGACCTTCTTCCAATTATCAAACTATTTGTGGGAATGTATGTGGGGATGTAAGAGCAGCACAGTTGCTCAAAGTGCCACCAGCAGTGCAGCAGCAGGGACTTTCTCAGTAGAGGGGAAAAGCCATCAAGCTGTCAGAGGAGGGACATCCTTTTGTGAAGGCAGGGATTCAGTAGGCCTGTGTGTTTTGATCACATGCACACGAAGGAGCTGGGAGCACCAGTCCCGTCTTCTGATGCAGGCATCAGCTTGTGCTGTGCACTCTCAGAACACCCAAGTAGGTAGATGCCAGGCGCATGGCAAACATAAAGAAGCGTCAAAGTATTTAAGCTTTTTTTTTATCTTACAATGGTAGTTACTGTAGTAGTCGCCGGCGTGCAAAAGCAATGTACTGTATTGAAATTAAAGCTAGAGTTACCACTGCCTACAGTAACTATCCAAGTGCCTTGAATTAAGATCAACTGGAAGTTAAAGACTGCGTCACCACTCACTCTGTTACCAGTTGAAAAGTTAAGACCAGACAGGGCGTTTGCAAAGGTAATAAAGCAGCCTTGACCTAAAGCATGTGGCTGGCTGATGTTTTTTTTGTTGCAAGCTTTAAGTTAAAAAGAAAAAAGGTACCTCATGGCCATCTTGGAAAGTACAGCACTTGCCCGTGATCTTTTTTCTGTAGAACCAGATTAACACAAGATTGGGCTGTGTTCTTGGTTCTTGTATAGGACTTTCAAACCTGTCAGCTTGAATTAGCATATTTACCCACTTTATTTTCAAGAAATGAAACTAGTGTTAGGGTATGCTTTAAAGTTACAGGTATGCTTTAGTCCTCCGTGATTCATTTTGACAGGCATTTTGAAAAAATGGAAGCAAGGTTGTCTGTCATCCTAACACCTGCCTGCTTCCCCACAAACACACACCAATATACAGTAGCTCTTCCTCATGACAAATTTAAATGAGGTGTTTTTTAAGTTATTAAGGGCTCTTTGGCATCCAATGTGGGGCACAGTCCCTAATAGACAGACACCAGCACAAGAAAGACAAAAGGCCTTCTGAAAACTCAGCCACAATAAAACAGGAGTTGAAAGAAAGATTTTTACTAGCTTCTGCAAAAACATATGACATCTGTAGATGTACACTCTGCCATAAATAAACAAAAAGCAGGAAGAGTGTTTTTTTTCCCTATTCTTTACATTTTCTTATTAAAAACTGATTTGCCTTTTTTCTTAAACCAGCAATAAATACCTTATCTAGTGACTTTTCTTTTTGGCGAGACCTGGCATTCTGTCTACTTGTGGGGGGGTGGTGGCTCGGGTTTGGGGCTCAAACAGGATATTTGGAATAGTTTGAAATGAACCTCTAACATGTGGAAAGATTAACTATTTTCTCCTGCTTATTGCGAAGTGGTGTTTTCAAGGATAAACCGTAAACACACTTGTTACCAGCAATTACAAAGGAGAGATCGCAGAGATCCAGGCAGCGAATGTAGGTTACTGAGGCAGCAAAGGCAGGCAAAGCAGTCTCTGAATCTGCACTGCCCACATTAAATAAAAAACAAGCTGCATATGCCTGGTGTATCCGGAGGCTGTAACGTTTATAAATATCAGCTTTTTAGTTTTCTGTAATGACTGGTCTAGTATGGCATCCAGCTGTCTGCTCTAGTGAATATGTGTTAGCGTTTATTCTTGGCCATGTTTAAAACAGTATATGGTAATGTATTGTCATTCTTTTCCTTTGATTTATGCTTATTTATGGAACATTTGTGTATACTCTGACCAAACGAATCCAGCACTGTTAGCAGTACCACATTACCCTTTATAGTTCTGAAGTGAAATGTCCTGGGAGACAAAGAAGTTGGATAGCGAGGGATCATCGACATCCAGAAATTAGCTCACTGTAAAAGACTGTCGTCCCCCCCCCCTTAAAGGTTCCATATAAATAAATATAATTAAAAAATTCACATGTCTTATTATTGCCTCTACACATATTTTTGTTTTTATATTATTTCATTTTTTGTAACTTGCAAGTTTAGAATTACTCCTCTGGCTGTTTTTTTTTAATATTGTATGTCCAAACAGACGTGTGAGCAGCGACTGAAACATCACCAGCCCTGAGAATGAGCCATGCATTACATCCAGTTTCCATGGGGAGAGAACAGTGGAGATGGAGTAAATAGATAACATGAGGAGTGCCACTGGCTTCTTTTAATCTATTTTTTTTATGGATGCTGTTTTAACATCTGGGCATGGCAGAACCATTATTTACCTCCAGGGCTTGAAATCCCAAATATTTTTCAGTGATCCAGTAGGTTCAGTGCACATCAGTAACAGTGATCCTGATTAACCTAATCCAATCCCACGAGTCTTGGATTTTTTTGTCCTTGTCGATAATTCACAACATGATTAAATATATTGAGAAGAGGAAGTCCAACTCCCGCAGCTAATGTGTCAGTTTTTTCATACCTGATTCCTTTATGCTGGGGTGTCCAGACACGTTGTTAATAAAGGAACGGGTCAAGGTTTGTTCCATGCTGAGAGGAAAAGAAAAAAAACAACAGTGTTTCAACTGAAGGCTCCGCAGCCGAAATGCTGTCTCTTTTCTTTTCCTTTCAGCGCGGAATAAACCTTTGCCTGTCCCTTTGCACCCTGTGCATGCTGAAAAAATCGATGTTCCTTAGACGCTGATGTATGTTCTGTACCAAGATGCTATGATTCTAATGGCTGAGATACATGAACATACCTAGTGTATCGCCTGAACTTTCCACAGCTCACCCTCAAGAGTGTGAGTGGTTTTCCTCCTGGTTACATACTGTAGGTGAACTTGTGTCCTGATGCACCTCTCCATGCCCTTTGACCTTCTTTCTGATCCTGAAACTTGGTCCTGAGCCCAGAGAAATCAGGATTTCTGTTCTATTCCCAACGCACCCGCAGGTCATCCCACACTGCTGATCCGCTCTCCAGCCTAGCGTTCGTGCTCCGCCTTTTAATTTTGTGTTTAATTTGTTGTGTGACATTTTGTATATGTATGCGTGTCTGAGTTTTGTTTTTGCGTTGTTTGCATCATTATGAAAAATGCTCTATAAAGTGTAGATCACAGTTAAACCCTGTGTTTTCGGATCATCATCTCTTTAAAATGTACCTTTCTGACCAGTTTCCTGGCTGCCTCGTGCAGGTTTCGCTGGTACTTTGCTCAGTCATCGCTCAGTGATATACAGTATGTGAATGACCGAAATGCGGATGTTGGAAAAATAAGGATCTGTATTCTTGTATATATTGGGTTTTTAATGTTTTGTCCTTTTTTAAGGACATTTAAAATATCTGAATACTCTTCATACAGGGATACATTTCAGTGTTTCATTGTGGTAGTTTTTTAATAAGGTTTTTGGATTTATTTCCAATGCTGTGGTCAGTTCTTCGTAGATAATTGGGGTTCAGTTATCCCAAAGGAGGTCAAACATCAGTAAAACCTGCAAAGAAGATAAACTGAAATGTAGTTATTATGTAAGTATTAAGCCCCCAAAGTCAGTACTTAGTGGAAGCTCATTTGCCATACGTTTCTGCTCTGTCTTTTTGGATAGGTCTCTATCAGTTTTTTCACCGTGCGGTGCTATAATTCTGTTCATTATTCCTGGCAAAATTCCCCGAGTTCTGACATGTTTGTTGAGGATCTTTGATGGAGTGCAACCTTCAAGCCTTGTCATAAATTTTCAATTGGACTCAAGTCAGGACTTTAACTGGGCTACTCAAGGACGTTAACTGTCTTGTTGTCAAACCACTCCATTGTGGCTTTGGCCTTGTGTTTTGGATCATCGTCTCTTTAAAATTTGACTTTTTGACCTAGTACTAGTTTCTTGGCTGACTCGTGCAGGTTTCCCCTGTACTTTGCTCAGTCATCACTCAGTTTCATATGGCTTCTCATTGCTACGTCCCTGATGAATTGTGATGACTTTGCACATACTGTATCTGAATGGTCAAATGATCTACAGTAAGGTGCTGTGTTTGTGTCTGAGTTCTCTTCTGCAGGCTTAGGTTTAAATCTCAGTTGTTGGTGCATGGAACAATCTACCCAGACATGTTTTTGAAGCCCCTACCATCTTTCGAAAACTGGCAGATTAATTGACTACAGTACCATCAAACAGGCTGGATGGGAGGAATGGCCTGCTTTCATTTGCGACCATTTCTGTGGGTTCTGATGATGAGAAGCTTACCCATTTCATGATGTTCCTATCGCCATGGAATGAAGTAACTAGGTGATGTGCTGTGTAGGGTTTGCACCAGACATACTGTCATTTTTTTTTTTTTAGCTGTGGCTTCTTTTTTGCCACTCACCCATACAGGCCAGGTTCATGTGGTGACGAGGATGTTTGCAATGTATGAACAGTCACTCCCATCTCAAAAGCAGGATATTTCAAAGTCATTGTGGGCTTCTCAGTGGCATCCATAATCAGGTTACGGTTATGCCCCTCTACTCAGTTTGGAAGGGCAGGATGGTCTGGGTAGTGTCTGGGTGGTATGATGGTATGATGCTCATTCCACCACCACTTTGTTCCTGGCTCATTTCCAAAGCTCTTTGGTCTTCTTGGTGTATCACGCAGTGCATGTTGTGCTGTGAAATTCAATATCTGTCTGAGGGAACTTGCAGAGACAGACAAATTTACTTCCAAGTCAAGTTAATCCAGTTTGATTATACACAGACAGAGGTCATTACACTAATTTTGTGGCCTTTCAAATTATTCTTTTGCACCTGAACTCATTTAGGGTTGCTGTAAGCAAGGGCTATAAATAGTTAAGCAATTGAGAATCATCCAGTGTTCTTCAAAAAACTTCGTATTTTCTTGCTTAGAAGTCTGATGTTTTTATTTGGATTTTTTCTCTATCTAAACCCTTTAGATAAAGGGCTAGAAACAGTACAATGACTGGTTACTGTTAGATTTTCATTAGTAGAGTCTGAGAGAGCTTTTGATGACACCTAGTAAAAACAGTAGTAGATAGATAAGTATCTACTATTTATCTACTATTGGTAGATAAGGCACCCAAGTACTGCAGTTGGTTGCAGACTGTTTTTGTTTTGCACTGCACAGCTGGATCATAAAGAGTTAATCTTTAGTGCTTTTCTCTCCATGTGTATTCTGTTTCCACGTAAAAAAGGTACAGCACAGACTCTTTGAATTCAGTGCATTGTTTGTGCAATACATCCTAATTGGGCTTTTGTCATCTCCTACTGTAAAAGTTGGAAGCTTGTTTTCCTTTCAGAAAGAATCAGAGTCCTGGAAAATCGGTTTTAGATCCAGAGTTGCTTCTAGGCAGTAGTTAGTTTCTTTGTGCACTGTTTTGTGCATGGATTTTGATTAATTTGGATGGCGCGGCTCTTTGTCGAGTCAGGCAAGTGAAAGATGGTGATGCCCAGCGTGTGCTCGGTTTATTTTTCTTGCTCGGCGCTCTTGCCTGCAGGTCCAGCTGCTCTACGAGCTGTTCCACAGCTGGAATACGACGTGGACCAGGATCCAGAAGCGAGGCATCCTCCGCCAGGCCGCGCGCTTCCCCGAGCCGCCCGCAGGGGCGGCGCCCTCGTCTCCCGTGAGGAGCAGCGCTGGCACGGCGCAGCCCGACACCAGCACCTGCAGCCCCTCGGCCGACTTCGGCTCTCCCACCGAGGTGAGTGCGCTCCGCGGTGCCCGGGCAGCAGGCTGCACGCTGGCAGCCTCGGCGCTGAGCTCCTGTGGTTTGGCCCTGCAGCGGATCAATCCCAGAAGCCAAAGGGAGCCAGAATCAAAAATGTAAACAGGATTCATGCTTGAAGTACATCCATTATTATAAACAAAAGGGTTTTCATTCCACTTAAAATTATACAAAAGCTAAAAGCTTGTGCACAGGGCCTTATGCTGTAACCCGATTGGCGTTTCTCAGCAAAAGCAGCTAATCCTAACGTGAATGTTTGTAAAACAACATTTTTAAGCTAAAAATCTCTTGTCATCTAGTGTGTAATTGTGCTTGTGCTTTTTGTTATGCTCTGTATGTCTGGATTACGTAGTTTTGAATATAAAATCTGGAGATCCTCTCTCTTCTTATTATAATTAGTTATTTTTCTAGGATCACATTTAGAACTTTTTAAAGTTAAGCTAAAACTAAAAGCTTGCATCTTACTTTTATGAACTGATGTGTTTACTGTACATTGTCCCAATAATTCTTATATAAATGTATTGTGTTTCTGGGTTCATTAAGCAAACAACAGGGAGAGTTTTGATTAAAAATCACTTTGGTTATAGAAAAAATAGTAAATCTGAAGCACCAAAAGCTGTACATTTTACAATTTGGATTGCAATCTAGGGAATTTAACCCACGATGTAAAGAACTTGGAAATATGTTGTGTATTTTAGTTAATATATCTAATATTTTTGAAAAGGAGGTTATGTCACTCTAGGTATGAACTTGTCACTACCTAGAGTGACACATGCTAGAGAGCTGGAACTCTCTAATCTCTATCTCTCTTAACATCTCTAGAAATATTACAGATGCCTTTAAAGTATAAATATATCTGTTTGAAACTTTTTTTTTAATTAGGGTAACCTGCACACACTTTAATATAAAACTACCTTTAAAATAAAATCTACCTGTTAAGAACGGTTAGGTTCATAACACTTGGGCACAGTGTGTGTTTAATCTTACAGTTATAAAGGTAATTATGAATGGGAAGTATGTATATTTACACATTTATTTATAAATCTAATTATAGAAACAGATATTTGATAAAAAAGTTTGTTTAGCCTTAAGGAATAGATATTAATAAAAGAAAAAAGGATTTGAACATTAAGAAAGCTGTCAAATACACCAATGGGACATTTTACCCCCTCTGTTTTATACATACAGTAGATTGCATAATAATGAAATATAATATACTATGGATATGGATAGCATCTTAATTCTTAGGTAGTGATGCTGTGCTAACTGGAGGTGAAGTTATCTGACGCTAGACAACCGTCCCATGTTGTGTCGCCTGTGGTACCGACAATCACAAACACTTAATAATACCTCCTCACCCTGAGTCACGGTAGTAACAGACATAGGTACTGCAGGCTATGACAGCCCACTTGTCAGTGTTTACTTAAGTGCACACAGTGGTAGAAGTGTTTAGTCCATGGGGAAACGCAGTGATTGAGCAAGAATGCAGGAGCTGTTTTGATAAGGTTCTGCAGTGGTGAAGCCAAAACACCCCTCCCCACACACACACTCACACTCATGCTCTTTGGCATTTCCCAGCCTGCGATCTGTGGGTCTGACGAGCAAAGACCAATTCTGCAAGGAAAACAAGCTCTGCCCTTTTGTCAGTTTACTGAGCTTGGTGGAGGAATTAAAGTGTATGCTTTAGGTCTTGGCGAAAGTAGGTGTGGGAAAGTAGCTGAGCTCCGGCTGTTGGCTCACTGTGTTAGAAACTGGTAGAAGTTGCAGATAACATCTGCGGTTTTTTGGTACTGCCTCGGCAGAACCAGGAGGTCCAGTTCGACAAGGGGGGCTCAAATTTTAAACTGGGTTTTCTTTCACTGGGGTTGTTTTATTATTTATACTCTCAGTGTCCCCGTGGCTTTAATGATCCAATCATCCTATTGCTAGCCTCATCTGCAGCATCAGATCTGTTAGATCATACCTTTTAGGCACAGCTATTTGAGTATTTTAATTTTTTGATCAAAGTTTAGATAATCAACATTCAGGGACAGCTTCCTCTTTTGATACTGTCAAACACAGTACATACAGTAGTCCTGCGCTAAAAGGCTTTTGGGCATCAGTTTGTGTTCCTTCACGTTTTGATAGACTTGTCAGAACTCTTTGGTTTTTATTAGTAGTCTTCCAAAAGGGCTTGAATTGATTTTTTTTAGCTTTCCTAGCCTTGCAGTTGCAGCTTTTTTGAAACATTTCATACTGGCTGGATTTGAGATTTTGGCTGAAAGGTTTACTTAACTGTCAGGAATTTAAGTTCTGCAGGAATACTGTACACCATATCCAGTAACTGAATTTCAAAGTAAAAATGTTCCAGATAAAAAAAAAGTTTGTTGTGTGAAAGTGTAGATGTCCTTCAAATAAATTCACTTTTCAGTTTTTTTTTCTTAGAAACACGATGTGTTTTATTCAGTCATCGTTCTCCATCTTTGACAAATTAAAAGTTACACACTCTTTATTGCATTCATTCATCCAGTCAGTTAATCATTGTTATTTTACAGAGACCCTTTTCATCACAGACAGACACTCAAAAGTGCTTTACTAAGCCATTATAATATTACATGACCCTACAGATTTGAATGGCTGAATGGCCAGTGATTTGTAACCCGATTTGTAAATAAAGTACTATAAAATCATGCTTTTACAGAGGGTGCAACAGATTTGTAGATGAAGCTGAGTGTTTCTCGGCAACCAATAACTAAAAACTCAGAATGGCTTAAGCACATTCACGGACAGCCTGAAATCAAGACACATTAAATCAGAATTTATTTGACCTTTATTCACACATTGTAACACATGACCTTCAGGGGGAAAACGTGCAAATGAAAACCTGGAAAAATGGGTTGGATGCTGTAAGTGCACACACTCTTGAGTTAGTACTTGGTGGAAGTACCTTATGCTTGAGTTACAGCTGTAATTCCGTTTGGATAGTTCTGCAGTACCAATGCAGCACACCGAGATTAGGTAGTGTTTGCCCATTCCTTGTGTGTCTTGATTTTAGGCTGTGTGTAGACTTTCTATAGACTCTGTATGTACAATATATTTGTGTAAACATACAGTAATTTCTCATTTACCACATTTTTCATTTTGCCCATTTTTGATTTAGAAAATAAGATTTTAACCGTTGCGAACGAGTGGCAGTTCTGGCCACCAAGCCGGTTTGGTAGATAGTAACTAATTGATCTGAGGATTTAATCCAGCTGTTTCTTGAAAGAAGCAACACTTCAGGCTTCAGGAACGCCGCTGAGTAGCTTGTCCAATATATCCACAACACTTTGTGTAAAGAAGAACAGTACCTCCTTTTTCCAGAAGAAAGTGCACTTCCGAGGAGTTTCCACTTGTGACCTCTAATTTTTGTTTCATTGCAGTTACTGGAGTATTAAGTATTACCCCTTTAAATTCTCATCATCATATTGAAGTATGGTTGTGTTACACATCTGTTTTCCTTTTAAAAATGTGTAATAAGAAAACCACAAAAGGTTTTTAATGGAATGGTTGATAACCGTGTTGCCACTGTAATACTCATGAACTATGCGTTTTCCTGGTTTAAGCTCTGACACAGTATACTGTATAATTAACAGGATGGTTTTTAAGCAGCTTATGGAAAAACACCATGTACTATAAAATACGGTATTGTTTGTTTGCAGCTTTTGCTTTATTGGCCAATTTGATTTATGTTTGGAAAACAGACCCTTGAACAAAAAAAAAAACTTCACAGATGCTGTCATAAAGAAACTCTTGCCAAACCCAGTAATGAGCTAAGAGCTTGCTCTGCAGCATCCTGCACTTTTCCTATGTTGGAAAATAAGAACTGGGAGTTTGTTTTGTTCGGATTTATGCTCTCAAAGCTGTCATATCTGCAGTCAAGGCTTCTAAATAAAAACAGCTTCTCTGGAGAAAACACGGTGACCTTAAGGTTAACGCTGTTAATGACTATAAGCAAGGCTAAACTCATATAGAGCTTTTAGCTAATTTAACTGCTTTTATCAGCTTTTATCAGTCTAGATGCATATTTCTGGGTTTCTTGTTTTGTTTACTTGCTCTGCTTTCAGTTAATCGTTCATCTTGCGAACAGTACATCATCCGTCCCTTCTTCACACGGGGCTTGGCCACTGCCATCCACACTCAGTTCACCACCCCTACCATGGAGCTTTTCCAGCAGACTCTTGTAAATAGCGACTATTGTTGAGCTGTTGTAAACTGGCACAGAGGGTTTAGCTGGGTGGCTGTGTCTCTGACATCACTGGACACTACTGTTTCCTCAAATGGCTTTCGTTTGTGTAACTAAAGGGAACTTAATCCCCATAAAATGAATCCCAACTCTCTCACCCTAATTCAAGACTGGGCAAGGCTCTGGAAGAGATGACATTTTATGTAGACAAGTGTAATACATTACATGCTGGTAGCAAGAACTTGACCTTTGAGTATAAGATGGCAAACACTAAGCTTTTTCTTCTTTTAACCCACCTCCACCCCCCCAACTTTGGAGGACTAATTTTGTTTTCTTCTCTCTCTTTTTCTCACTCTTAAGCTTTTTTTCCTTTTTTTTCTTAATAGACAAAAAAATGCTTCCATTCACAAAAAATAATGAAAACGCAGCCAGCAAAAAAAAAATATTAATTCACAAACTTCCTACTGATATTCTTAACATCCAGTGCCATTGAAGTTTGTCTCTAACGGGCCCCAACCATTCCTATACTCATTAAGTTTCCCCTGTAAATTACATGAAACCTTTTCAAATTTAACTTGTGATGCAGCGTCTTCAGTCCATTCTTTGTACAGTATGTCGGTCCTGTACTGTCCACCCATTTTCGCAATATTCTTTTTTTTTTTTGCAATAATGCAGAGCGTCAGGAAAGTATTTTTATATTGAATTGCTGCTTTAACCTTTGATAAATCGCCAAGGATCCATGTAATGGGAGTAAGTGGAATTGAGATATTTACAGTAGGTACCTGAGAGCTTCCCACTGTGGAGGTCCAGAATGACTGCACTGTATGTGCTGACAATACCACAATAAGTGCAGTAGTGATCTTTTATGTGTTACATTTTGAACGCATTCCTGTGTTATGCCTACTACTTATGAAAATACTTACTGTAGATATTTATCTTAGCTAGTCCTGTTTAAACACTTTTTTTTTTTTTGCTGTCTGCCCTCCTGTGTGTGACGTTGTTCTTCATTAACTGCTTTTATAGGGGGATTCTCTACAAACTGGAGACGACTCCCCTTTCTCAGACACCGTCACCTTGGAGCAGAAGACGAGCAGTTTTGGAGGAGCAAGCGGGCGGGTCAGCCTGTGGATGCAGTGGATGTTGCCGAAAGTCACAGTGAAGCTGTTTGCTCCAGATCCTACAGCCAAGAGAATGGGTAATGTTCTGCACGGAGGCAGACCGTTTCTAACAGCCGCAGTGGTGCAGAGGTTAGCGCTGCTGCCTCGCAGTGCGGGGGCCCAGGGATCCAGCCCTGACCTGGGGTGCTGTCTGCGTGGAGTTTGTTTGTTCTCCACGTGCTCACACGAGTTTCTCTGGGTGCTCCATTCTCCTCCCGCCGTCCAAACGCATATCAGTATGGTTATTTGGCTGCTGGGGAAATTGGCCCCAGTGAGAGTGTGTGCATCTCTGTGTCTGTACAGTACAGTATGTGCCCTGCAATGGACTGGCGTCCTGTCCAGTGCGTACCCTGCCATAGCACCTGTTGCTTGGTGGGATAGGCTCCAGCTAGGAGGAGATTTACAGTACAGAAGCGCCAGATAGGAATTAAATTCTAAAGTGCCTTCTTGCAGTTTCAAGAGGTACAAAAAGACCTGAACAGGTCATTCGGAAGCAGGAGCACAGAAGATGGAAGAAGCACCTGCTTCTTGATAAAATGGTCAGGTTTGCCATACTGCAAGCGTTTTTCTTCCTCTTCCTAAGGGAGCGCAATGCCCCTTTTCCTCAAAGTTGAGGTACAAAACGACTGGGTGGTGGCAGAGGAGCGTTCGTGATTGTGGTTCGAGGCAAAGCACATGTGAGCAAAGCCGTACAAAAAGTTGTTTCTGCTAAGCTCGTAGAAAGGACACATACTGGCAAATCAGGGCAGATGAATTTAGGACAGCTGGGAAGTAAATAGACATCCTGCCCAGAAATTAATCTCCTTTCTGTCATTGAGTATGGTGTGTCAGCTCATCTCTATAGTAAATGTATTCTGCGTAATAAGTCAGTTGTATTATGTTTCTAGGGCCCTGATGTCCTGGCCTTTATACGGATGTCGCAGTAGTCATATGCGTAGTCATCTCAACATTCCCATTGGGGATGCACTTGTGTTTATAGGGCAAAAGAAAGAAAAAATTAGAAGCAAGTAACGTGGCAATAAATTTACCAAGAAGCAACGTCTCCTTAAGTGATTTAGTGCAGTGTTGAAAGGAAAGCTTTACCTTTAATGGGTTTGTATAATATTTAGCATCTGCCAACCAGAACATTGAGCTTAAGTGCTTTAAATGGAACTTTGTGAGGTTATGTTTTGATTTAGGAGCATCCTAAGTAGGAATTACATAGGATTTATGCTAATATTTGCCATCTGAGTTGCTAGGTAAATCTACCACTGATACAGTGTTCAAGGCATTAATGAGTGATCCAAGCAATATCTCATGCCTGTTAAAATCTGCAAGGATGATATTAATACTAGAGCTATGGCGTGATAAGCAGATTGATTCAAATTCATAAATAATTCAAACTTAAAATGTTAAAAGGAGGATCCTATAGTACTGTATGATTTACGTTATGAACATTGAGTACAGCCAGCATAGCATTACACCATTATTTATGACCTGTCGTGGGTCTGTGCCGTACTGTTGTGAAGGACTGTAGTGTATAGTACTTATTTTCATTTTTTGTACAGTTTGCTGTGGCCCTTTTCATTTGCAAACTGTAGCATTTTAGGTAGCAGAGGTGTAGCTTGCTGTGTTACCCTGATCCCCTCCACTCAGATCAAAGCTAATACAATTTCTTTCTCACAGCCCACTGCCATGGTGGTGCTACAGTGTTGCAATTCCAGCTGCTTTTACAAAAGGCGTTCTTGGCACACTAGGACTTGTTTTACTCTCTGGAGAGGGGACTCTAACATTTTGAAGGGAATAGCATATTTTTCACTTTATAAAATCACGCTGGTGTCTGTTGGATGAACGGATCCGTCTGCAGTTCGATCACACAGAGATACTGATCTGCACAGTTAAATGCATGTGGTACCTTTTCAATTTAAAATTTGTAAACTTCATTTGTTAACATTTGCATGAGAACTATGTATTAATTTAGTGTGATGTATTCATGCAGTGTCCCTGTAAATCCATCCTTAAAACACCCACTTACAGTGTGGAGAAATATTACTTATGTTACTCATATTTATATTTTTGTACATGTCAATGTATCATTCTTAAAGTTATAGTTCTTCATTGGTCCTAATTGTCTATGTAATTAATACGTGGGGAGCTTAATTGTAAGAAACAAAGAAAAACTAGTTTGTACTGCTTGTACATGACAGTGTTAAATATAGTTTTAAGTGTTAAATGTAATCCTCACTCCGTTACAATTTAGATTGTGTGATAAAGCTTATTCAGTGCTCTGTTCCATGTGAAGGAGTACCGGGTCTGTTGTTTAGGCACTCACATGCTGTATCAGGAGGTCGTGGAGCTTGAGTTACACCATTTATTAAAGACGGAAAAGGGAAGATTGCTTTCTAATAATTCATCTGTAAACAGCCCCTAGCTCTTAACAACAAAGATGTCTGTAGTGAAATATAATATTATGCTGTTTGCAGACTGAATTCCGTTTTTACTTATCAATCTGATATCAATTATGACTGAAATCTAAGGATCCACGCAGCGCACAAAGCAAATGCTGATGCAACGCTATTCTGAACACGTGTTGCAACGTGGTGACCTGGGCAACATGCTGTGTGTTCAGAACAGCGCATGGTCTTGGCATGTTCAAAGCCATGTGGAGAAGAAGCATCAGCATAGCATCGCTGTGCCCATGACCCCTCCTCAATGAACGTTTGCAAGTGGGGCATTCTTCAAGGATCTCCTGGTTTGTATGGATCAGTATATTCTAAAGCTCTAGTGTTCAAGTTCTTTTTTTTCTTCTTTTGTAACCCTTTTAAGGTACAGTACTGTATATCATTGTTCCTGTCTTGCCTACCTTATTTTGCAGAGACCTGTGTGATCAGTGAACTGGAAGACCTCAGTGCCTCAGTGGATGTTCAAGATGTTTACACCAAGATAAAATGTAAAGTGGGCAGTTTAAACAGTGATCACTATAAAAAAAGGTAAACGTCCAGATATTTTCTCCAACAGATTTTACTTTTAATTATTTTATTCTCCCCCACCCCCCACCCCAATGGCAACCAGTAAAATACAGAAATAAAATTATTATTAGTATAGAGGAGTGATGAGGGCTCTCGACTCATCACCAGAATGTTGTGGGTTCAAATCCACATGTGAGGAGCGGCTGCTGTAGGGGCTGAGCTCTTGTTCAAAGTGCTTCGCTCCCATTGCTCTGGTAAAATACCTAGTTGTATAAGTGAGTACAAACGTACGTCTGTCCGGTTAATTTGTCAGCCAAATCAGTCAGGAGGATCAAACTGCTTCCCCTCGTTTCTAACCCTTCTTATGTTCTTAAAAACATTTCTCTCCTCAAGATCCACTTCACCTGCCCCCCAGTGGAGAGTGGAGTCCCACCTACAGCAGGGCCAACGATCAGACCCTTCACATACCTTAGTACTGAGGCTTAATATTCATCCAGTAAACCAGTAGACCGCCATGTTTAAACAGGCCCGTTCTGACAGGTGCAAAATGGATTTGTTTTCCTGGTTCTCTTCAGCTCTTTTTTTTTTTAGAGAGCCATTTTGGAAAGCGCACTCTTTTTATATCTACTGCGTTTCTGTATTCATTTTCATGAAGACATAACGCACAGAATCAAAATGACTCATGACTGAATGTCCTCACGTCTCTTGTCAACCAGCTCCACATGTCACCCAGTGGGCCTCATCAGTGAACAATCCAAAAATACCAGAGTTTAAGTCACTGAGTTCAGCTTGTCAGCACCTGACTGCAGCATTTAATGACTGGGGTCTCTAAGGCAAAACGAGAAGATTCCTCAGCACAGTTGCATGTTTCTTTTTGGTGAATTTACTTTTCCCCATGTACTGGGGCATTAGCCATATCACCCTGCAACTCACAACTGGTAACCCCCTGAAGCTCAGCAGGTGTGAGCCTGGTCAGTACCTGGATAGGAGACCTCCTGGGAAAAACTAAGGTTGCTGCTGGAAGAGGTGTTAGTGGGGCCAACAGGGGGCGCTCACCCTGCGGTCCATGTGGGTCCTAATGCCCCAGTATAGTGACGGGGACACTATACTGTAAACAGGCGCCGTCCTTCTGATGAGACGTAAAACCGAGGTCCTGACTCTCTGTGGTCATTAAAAATCCCAGGGTGTTTCTCGAAAAGAGTAGGGGTGTAACCCCAGCATCCTGGCCCAATTTCCCATTGGCCCTCACCAATCATGGCCTCCTAATAATCCCCATCTATGAATTGGCTACATTACTCTGCTCTCCTCCCCACCGATAGCTGATGTGTGGTGAGCGTTCTGGCGCACTATGGCTGCCATCGCATCATCCAGGTGGATGCTGCACATTGGTGGTTGTGGAGGGGAGTCCCCATTACCTGTAAAGCGCTTTGAGTGGAATGTCCAGAAAAGCGCTATATAAGTGTAAGCAATTATTATTATTAGTAGTATTATTGCCATCAGTGTTACCTTAATGAGTTTGAGTCACATTCACAATTTAGATTGCAGATCTAAAGGAAATGCACAGCTCTGCTCTGCTTGGGATTAGAAAATGTTCGTTCACGTCTTCACTGGCCACTGGCTCAGTAAGGCATCACATGTATAAGGCCTTTCGTAATGGAATAGCGCATTGGGCACCCAGCATTAAAAAGTAATTATTAAATTGTATTTGCATGGAGTCAGAAAATGCTATTAAAATTGTTTAGTATAGTGCATGTGGTACATCAGTGCTTTCAGATCATCAGACACCAGTGTGAAAGTATGTCTAGTGACAGTTCACCCTTATTTGCTCCTAAAAGCAGCTCACACAAATGAAATCTGATGGCTTCCAGCTGTTTCACAAATGTTTCAGAAATAATTGTCTAAAGGGATGGGAGGTCTTCGTGTAGCAAGAGAGCATGTTAAAAGAGAACAGACATTACCAGGACTGCTTGGGCAATTGAACTCCCATTCCTGCTGAAGGGAATGTTGTGGGCAGGGCAAGCTTACAGTCGAGCGTACAGAACTGAGAGGAGCTCATAAGCATCCTGTGATGAAGCAGGGTTCTCTGTGTAAAATCCTGCAAATATACCGTGCATGTTGTTTCCTCCTCACGTATCCCTCTGTTTGGTATTGATTTTATAAATACGCAGCAGAGTTCCATAAGGACACTATTTTATGGTACCAGTTAAAAACCGTGACGGTTCTGTTCAATATCAAGAGAGACAGGATTTTTAAGGAGGGTTAACATTACCACCACGAATGGGTTTGTCATCGATGTCCTGCGTCAGGTCTGTGTGGAAGGTCTTGCGTTTGCAGGGAGAGAATGTTAGCCTACTGGGGTTCTCGGGGGTCTCAGGGGTCTGTTGTGCAGAGCTTTAAGAATGAAGTGGGCTGCTGGTTAGGTTTTCGCTTCAGTCTCGGAAAATCATCCAGAGGGGCATGGTAACATTATTCCAAACATTTCAGTCCAAGAAGCTGCATCAAGCAGCAACCACTGAAGGTGCTGCCAAGCTGAAAGGAGTCATCCCCCCCCAGGGCTGTGTCAGCTGATAGTTTCCATGGATTTAGGACTCTGTTTAGAAAAGCAAATTAGGGGACATCTCATGATGCCAAAGAACTAAGCCCTGATAATAACCCAGGAAGATTGTTTTTGCTCGGTTGGGGGCTTGGATTTCACAATATTTGTTTAAAATTAGGAAATCTAAAAATAATGTCGACAGTGACCACGTATCAGAAACTACAAATGTACAGATCACAGAGACAAGATGAGCTGGACATTGTCTTTTCCAGGCCAGGTGAAGGCTGGCAGACAGGACATAATGAAGGAGTCATTCTGCAGTGCAAGGAAAAACCAGTGGTGAGGCTTTTGTCGAGTGAACGTGCCATGTGAAATACTGTCCAAATCTGGGGCATACATTTCTACTTACCCTGGAGAGCTTAGGAAATTTTGCCTGCAGGATCTAAAGCTAGAACAAGGAACAGTTTACCATTCCTCACTGTAAACATCTAATACAGCTTGTTCTGATAGTCCCTGCAGTCATTTTCCTGGGCTCTCTGGTGGTTTTGATTGCTAAGGGATTCTAATCAAATCAGGTGACGTTTCTCTCTGTGTTTGAAAACCTACGATCTGTCAGAGCCCTCTGGGTGGCCTTATTCTGTTTGCCCAAGCGCTGTGGATTAAATTTGAACTGGTTGAGTGTGTAATCACCCGCTGATTACCGTCAGTGGATTTCAGACAAAAGCTGAATCAGTTGCTGTTGAGCCAGTGTAGGCTGACTGCAGCATAAGGCCATTCATAAGGTGGTTCTTGCAGCTGCTTGCAGCTAGCTTTATTGTGCAAAAATCTGCATATCTGTCAATATCCATCTTATTGCTCTTTGTTGCTTTCTTCTCCCCCCCCCCCCCCTTTTCCCACATCTTTTACCTGCCCCCAATGCGACACTTCAGCCTAGAGGAAGGCCAGCGCTCTCTGGGCCATTTCGGAGGGGTGCTCCTCTCTTGCACTGACAAGCTGAATAGACATACCATGCTGGTCCGACCCGTCAGCAAGCAAGACCCTTTCAGCCATTTCTCTGGCTTTTTCCCTCCTGTAAGAAGCCACATTTGTTTCAAATTACCACATGGAGCTCCCATTAACTTTGCAACGTCTTTTAAGCATGTCCTTCTCTTGCCTGTTCAGCTAATATGATATGTGCAAGATTCCCTGACTGTTCAACGTTAGGACCGCTGCAGAATTCCCTATTTCCATTCCAGGCTGTATCTTTATGATGCCCCAGTACTAACACTAAGAAATATGTACTAGTTTGGGGATCCGTGCCAGTGTACTGTAGCAAAAGTAGACTGTCCTGCGCTGTATTCAGTTTTGCAAATGGACGGTTCTGATCGTTTTCTATTTCCATACCTAACTTTTTGTGCAAAATAAATATCAATTGAATCTGCTGCTTGTTCAGATGTAAGGCAAAGTTAATGAAAGCTCTTTCAGATGAAATCTGTTGGCGTTAGGTTTCCTTGATGTATATCCCGTCCTTAAAAGTATGAAATCCCTGTTCTATGCTAAATTATTCTTGTTGCCGTTTTTTAACCAATATGGGACTTGCTTTCCCAAATCAGTCTCTTCAATGCTGGTTCTCCATAATAAGCTATTAATCTTGGTCATTAATAATATAATGCTCTGTTGGCTGTGAATAGGGAGAACTTTTATTTATTACTTATGGTGTTACACAGTAAGTGAGGACTTAATAATAAAAAATAATGTTTAATAATAATAGGGAATGGCAGAATCACAGACATAAGCATGAGAAATAATCTTGAAGAGACTGGTTTTGGCAGAGCAGGTAACTGATACCGATAATCAGCTTATTCTGTATGATCTGGAAGTGAAAAGTGATAGTTCGCCATCAGTTTCTGTCATGCAGCGATTTAAAGCAAATTTATCCCCTAATAACGCTGAGTTAGGAAAATAGGAAATGACCTTTAAAACAGCATGTGTGCGCTTTGAGCTCGAGCTTAGCTAACAACGTACTGTACGGGCTGACTGGTAATGTAGGGCTTTCGCGGTGCTGCCGTTTTGAACAGCATGGTTTCGCTTTCCCCCGCAGACTGCCGCGAAAGTGCTGGAAGTGTCCCACCAGCAGCACGGCTTTCTGTCGATAACCTACACCCAGGCGGTGACCAAGAACGTGCGGCACAAGCTGACCTCGCGGCAGGAGCGCGGCATGCGGGGCCCGCCGAAGCTGTCGGAGGGCCTGGCCGACGGCTCCCCTCAGTACCTGCGCGAGATCCTGCTCGCCGCCCAGCCCTTCGACGTCGTGCTGTCCTGCCCGCTGCTCGCTGCCGTGGCCGGCGTCTTCCAGGTCAAGCTCCCCAAGAGGCAGGGGGACAAGGGCAAGTCCGCAGGGCAGCCCATGAGGACCCACACCCTGACCTCCCACAGCCTCCCCCTCATCTACATCAACACCAGCGTCATCCGCGTCTTCTTCCCCAGCGCACAGGAACAGGAGCCCCTCACAGGTGAGGACCCAGGCAGTCTGTCACATCCAGTATGCTCAGTTCTCAGCTTGCTTCTTAACACCCCCTGCATACAGTATACCACTACCCAAGTCCATGCTGTGTGCAGAAAGCTTATGATTATCTTAACGCTAAGTCATGTTTCCTTTATATAACAATACATGAACGTTACACTTGACCAAGAAGGAGGCATGGAACTGAAACAGGGTGTAGTTCTCAAGCATTTCATTGTCTGGTGTCGATTTTGCTTCTCCCATACTCGGCTCACAGTGCCCGGTGGAGCATTTTTTTGTTGTGGTTTCATTGTCTTCTCAAAGATACTTACTCGGCTTCCAGAACAACGTATAATTTACTGAACTGAAACCTGGAGGCCCACATTCTGTGTGTAGTTCACAGTGCATTGAAATTGGTTCTGATTGTTTACATTCCTTGGATCTGGTCCTTGCTTGTACTGTTACTCAGGAATTGCCGAATCCGGAAGCTAGGAAGAAGCCCAAGGGGAGTTATTAACATTCCATACGGTTTGCAAAGCTACAGTATATTCTTGAAGGTGCACATGGTATATTGTTGGTAGCAATTAGTTATATAGCTCTTTTTTAATGGTGTTTTGTTAATAGTTTTCATGTGTTTCCAGAGTGCCATCTGAAGAAAGAAGACACCTTAGTCCTTAAGATTGGCTCTGTGAGCATGGCTCCACAAGCAGATAACCCTTTAAGTAGAACTGCCCTGCGCAAGGATATTTATCAGTAAGTCACCTCTCCTTCCCTTGCTCTGCACTGCCTGCCTTAATACTGTACCTTCCATTAAGGAAGTGAGAAGCACGAAGGCATACTCCTGGCTTTGTGAGGCCTCAGAGGTGCCTAAGTGTAGCTATTTTTAGTTTCAAAACTGAATTATTGACCACAATTTGTTTAAAAGTGTCACTAGAAATTTGTCTAGCTTAAAACGTAAGTCACAGTTCATAAAAACAGACATGAGATTATTGCTTCTTTTGTTCAAAGAAAATGTGAGTCAGATGAGAGAAGGCTTTCAAAAGTCTTCAGAATCCAGTGGTAGCTTTTCAGTGTGGTTTGACTCCCCGGGAGTGACGGAATTTTATAAATGACATATAGGCAGGCATCTGAAACGCAAGACTGTTGATACAAGCCTCAGTGCCATGTGGATCAAAGCTGTGAAGAAAAGCAAACCTCTGAGGAAAATATTCAGCATAAACACATTTTCTGCGAATGCTCATGATCTGGATTGTGTCATGGCTGTTTGGAAACCACACCAATCGTCTATGGGCAGAGAAAACTGGCAAACACATGTAATGAGCGAGATAAAAGTAAGGCATAATGCTTTGTACAGCTGGCAGCGATACCGAATGTGAGGCTGAAATTGACTGTTGACTTTGAGAAGAAAAGGTGTGTGAAAGGAGGTCTATTCCAGCCTTCACTGCTGCGTTAGGTTAATATAAACATATCGGTTTGGGATTTTGCTTTGATTTGGACGTGGCAACACTGGAGCCTGCCTGGCCTATATCTTGCAGGAACAAGAATGCTACTTAACTTCTCACTGTGCCTTTTTCTTCCTGTCGCTGAAGTAAATGAAGAGGAGCCTAAAATGTGGTGGTGAGGCTCAGCAGAGAAAAACTCTGTCTTAACCCTTAACATGAAAGTGTTGTATTTCAAATGTCGATTCCTTTGAAAGAGAGCAGTAGAGATGTACTGCAGAGAAGTGCTCTTCACCAATGTTTTACCAACAAAACCAGTTCCCACAGGGTCCAAACACTTTATAATTGTTAGACGAGATGTTTCATGACAAGTAGATTTTTTAAAAAACAAAGTAGAAACATGCATTATTTATATTATACCCACCTGATTTTAAAAAGCCAGTTACAGTATGTGTTCTTTTTTCATCTTGGTCAGCCACTAAAAGTCTTGCAGTTTTACAAAGGTGGAGGTGGAGGAGTTGGGCTCTTACCACCAGTCTGCCTTTGCACCTTTCGTTTTATAGTAGTCACAGGCAGCTGGGGGCTTAAGGGGCTGGGGACTTTATTAGGCATACAGACTCTGACTGACGACCGACTGTAAGACTTTTATTTAAAAAAATGAAGGCTTCCACTAAACCCAGTTAAAACCCAATTTCAATATTCCAGGTCCAAAACATTGTCAAATCCAGACGACATTACCTGAAAAAGGTTCTCACACAGTCCAGGTCTGATCTACGTAACTCGGGTCCACACAACAAAGACCTTTCACCATTAACTATCAATTCAAAGACGTTTTCTTATCTTTTTCTCCGCAATCCTCCATGTTCTTTACTCCCTCCTTGCTTTCATGTTGTTGGCTGCCACCCATTCGCCTGTTCGGTACTCTACTTATATAGTCTGACCAGGGAGCACATCTGCTCAAAGTTCTTGTGATTGCTTGATATCCTTCATCTTGGATCTTTTCATGTCTGCTCCATTCAACCATCTTGGTTAGGGGCATAGGTAGACCTAGAAAGTTAAGTTAATTCTTGTTAAAGTATCACCCCTCAATGTCTCTTCCCCTTGTGGCATCACAGTATATAATGCATATTGGAGTTTCGGCATTGACTGGAAGAGAGGCATGTCTGCAAGTTCCTAATCTGCCTCTAGGGGTCACTGTATCTCTGCCAGCAGAGAGAGCCCAGGTTGACTAATCTCACCCTAATTGAGATTGAGTCTGACCCTCTAAAATCACCAGCTCAGCAGACCCATTTGGTGCATTAAAGTGGCTGGTTTGGCTGGGTAATGGGATGTTGAGCATTTTAATTGATTTCCGTTCCCCTCTCAGTGCTATGAGCTGAGTCAATGAATTGGGATTTGATTTGAAAAGACCAAATTTGAGAGAGAGAGAGAAGGGAAAAAATCGGAATCAGAATAGAATTTGTCAGTCTTGCTTGTTAAATTCTTAAATGCTTACAATCCTGCACTGCAGTTGTCATTTAGTACTGACCACATTTTGTTACACAATATGTTTATTTATCATTTTAAAACTATATTGTTTAAAAGGGAAAAAATTAACATTTTTCAAAGCATGGAGTTAATAAAAGATTCATTTGGAACCAATTAACACTTTTTCATTTGATCATAATAAGAAATATCACTTCATAACAGTCTGGGTCCCCTGTGGGTTAAGAGTAGGAATTATGACACGGAGCTTGGTTTTCCCTATCCATCAGCTCGTACAAGGCCGCTGTCAATTTACACAGCTGAAATCATTTTCCTAACTTTAAAAAGATGGAATTTCCAAGTACATGAATGTAACCCAGGGAATGTCCAGCATGCCTTCACTCCCAACTTTCTTGTGGTTAATGTTCTTTGTACAATCTCACAGATCTCATTTTCCGTTGAAATCTTGCTCAAGGAACATTTAATTGAAAGCTTCTTGTAAGCAAAAGACTTGACTAACGAGGAACACTTTCTGTAATTCATTTCAAACAACTTGGCATCTCTGTCTTTAAAAGACTCAATCATCATGTCTTTGTAGTTGAAATACAACTTGATATAACCAGCGACCTGTTTTAGTCTAGTATGTGTAATGTATTATTTTTTCCTTGTGCAGAGCACAGTGATAATTTGACAATACCACTGATGTTTCTGATCCAGATATATTAAATCACTGCGAAATTGTTTCATTTATTGTTCCAATCATTTCTTGTGTTTCTTCAAAGGCAATTGCTATGTCTCAGTCTGTTCCGAAAACAGCAGATGGGTGTGTAAATGTTTGCTTGAGGATTTTGAAAGCTGTGTATTTTTTTTCCCTGTGCTAAACATCAGGCTAAGATAAAAGGGCAAGCCGTTTAATATTTTGTAAATTAAACATTACGTGGTCCAAGGGTGTTCTGCATCATTACTTACTGACCAGAGAAGCTGTCTTCTGTTCAAGTTCAGTTTGTGCTACAGCAGGAGGAAGTGATATCAGCAGACCAGCAGGTGGCTCTATTCCCTGTGGCTCATCAGTTTCAATAAATTTCAGGAAGAAGGGGCAGGGGTAGTAGGAAGACTAAGGGTCCCAGTGAATACAGGCATCGGATCGCCGTAACTGTAGATAAACAATATTGAGAGACGATGGTTAGTTTCAGTACTTTTGTTATGCTCATTTATTTAAACTAAGAAGACGTGAGTAAGACAAAATGAAATAACCTCTTATAAAGCAACATCTTAGTTATAACATATTGAAACATAGTGTACATATGGAGATGAGAATTAAAATGACCAGTTGCACCACTACATGAGACGAACTTTACATATATTCAAAGTTAATATTAAGAAACCTGGACATCACATATAATATATAGTATAGTGTAATGAACTCTGAGGGTTTTACAACAATTAATGTTATTTACAGTATAGCAGATAAATAATTACCAACCTTTAAATAAACAATATTGAGAGGAGATGGTTAGTTTCAGTGCTTTCATTTTCTTTGTGTAAGAGAAGAAACACATTCAGTGTTACCATACCAGCGTTACCAATGGACACATTTAGCATTGCCATAGCACAAATCAAACCTTATCTACTCTACATTTACTTGGAACTGTTATGCCTGACACAGGCTTTATCCAACTGAGATCATACGGAGGAGGTCTTGTAGCCGGCCTTAAAAAATAAAGTTAGCTAATTATTCATTTCACTTTCCTGATTGTTATTTTTAGGTTCTGGATTTCAGTTTTTACATTATGCAAAAATCTGAAAATGTTTGTATCTACAAAAACAAGTCTGTGTCTGTCCAGAAAGTAAAGTGCTCACATTCCGTCTGCTTGTTTACTGCCTGCTGTAGGTGGCCAGAACACTGTCACAATTTCAAAATCACTAAAATCTGAGCACAAGAACATGAAGAATAATGGAAAATAAGTAGTCCTTTTGTTTTTTTTTTTGGAAGAATAACTTCAAGAATTTAAAAGGCACTGCTGCTTTGCCAACCTGTTAACAACAATTTGTTACCAGGTTCAGAAATGCATTAGAAAATGTGGCCCTGCTTGCCAGTCCCCATCACCCAGGCATCTCAAAGATATATTAATCTAAAGTGACCCTCTGATTAAACAGAGGTAGATGGCCGATCAGACTCATTGAGAAAAGCAAACGAATTATCAGACAGCCAAGCCTATTATTTCGTTAATTATGACTGATCTTGGTTGTAGCCCGGATTGGTCTGGCCAGGATTCACAATTCTCTTTGGGTTTGGAAGGTTGTGTGCGTTCAGAGTTCAGGCAGCTGAAGTGTAGCCCACAGCTCTCTCTCTCTACTGCAGTTAAATATACATGCAAAACCACCCTTACTGGTTATTAATGACATTTCTTGGCAGGCTCAAGGAATTTCTTTGTCAATTGATTTTGAACAAGGACTGAGAAGTATAGAGAAAAAAAACAACTTTATAGAGTATGAAAGGGATGCCCGACCTGGAAGGTATTTCAACAGCTTGGTTTAAACCTGCCTTACATGACCCTTCCCCTGGCTCAGAGCCTCACTTTAAAATTAAACTAAAAATGGAAAACATAAACAGCCCAGTCTTTATTCAGAAACAACGATGCAGACATTATTTAAAAGTATGTGAACAATTTTAATTGTAATGGAGAAGACGCCTCTTAGTATTGGTAATAGTAATTGTTTAGTATCCATTTACTTTAGCTTGGGATTCCCCTTGAAAACAAGCATGGAAATTAGTTATTCAGAGTCTTGTCTTGAGGGACAGTAGTTTATTGTAATTATAATTGTTATAAGTGCAGTTACTTAATGTGT